CTGCCGAAAATACAGAACTCAAGGATTACAAGTTTGGTAGTCAGTTCAGTCTCGAGATCACGACAAACCGGAGAAGAAGCTGTGAGTAATACTTTCCTCCTTTGCAATCGTTCATTTTATGCTCCTTTTGTGATTCATTTTGCTCGACATAACTGTTTTCGGAGCTTTTTTTTGTTTCGAGAAATGACTCGTTTGGGCGTCCAAGTTTGCAATGAGGCCGCAAACTTGCTTTTCTATCGATCTGCAACTGTTTTCCTCTCGCCTCTCCCGCTGGTGTGTGTGACAACGTAAATAGCCTTAAGAGAATGAATATGGGCAGTCTTGGAGAGATCTTTGGTAGCACACGCGTACTCACATCTGTTGGCTGTTTTTGTGCGTTTGTTACATTTGGGCATTTTCCCGGGTTGTTTTTGTCAATTCTTGGCGGCGGCCGTGCCAAGGGCACCTGCTCTTAGGCGATTGTTGTCAGATTGGTGCTGGCAGCCCAGCGTGGGTTACACACATACACACCTCAACAACATTGTCACACACCTTGTGTTGTCAAACATAACAAAGAGAAAAACAGGTGACACAATGCCAGAGAACTTTTGGGACCAATGCGGATCATATTTTGAGCCAGGGCCTTACAAAGTGGAAACAGCCGTTTACTTTAGAATTTAACTTTGTATCTCTCATGTTTCCCTAACTGCGGATTGTGTTAAATTTTTCTTTATGTGGACGCGATTTCTGGGTAATTTCCCACTATATTTCTTTCTGACGAGGGTTCCGTACGCGGGATGTGACATTTATGTCAGGGGATGCATGTGGATTTGTCATGTATCGTGTTTGATACATGGGCAGTGCACTTTGTATGGATTTGCATGCCACTGCTTTTGATTTCGTAGTTAAAGACAAACTCCGCGAATGCATATTTTGGGTAGTGGCGGTCATTTAGAAACCCATTTTCCCTAAATGACTTTTCAAGGGAGAGGAAAAGCAAAAAAAAATCATGGAGGACACCCTTAAGGGGAGGACTAGGCAGCCTTTCTAGACGAGTTCTCCAGACCTGCTCGTTTCGTGCCAGCAAGGTGATGCTCTCCCCCCTCTAGCTCATCAGTCGTTTCGTCGTATCATCCAGTGCCATCTAACAAGGGAAAATACGGGGCTAAAAGTGAACGCGCGATAGGAACTAGCTGAATTTCGGTGGGCGGGACAACTGCAGAGGCGTCTGAACTGCCATTTATGAAGGCCGCAACGCCTTCGTTACTTCCTGTGAAGCCGCGAAAGTGGGGCAGTCTTCGAGAATGAGGGCTAGAATATTTGCATAAGGAAGGACGTCTACTAATCAATTGAGCTCATGAGGACTAGCTTTGATGACAGATCAGCTTTCGCTAAAGTCGAATCCATATGGGAATACTGTTGGGAGCCTGCTGGAAGGAAATTGCTTCGAGAAGAATTGTTATTGGTGTTAATCGCCCACAGCGTCCTTTGTGAAAGCTGCACGAATTTCACGCTGATGTAATTACGCTCTCGCGGTTTTGAATTTCGTTGGTTCTCGCGAAAGTGTAGCTGAAAGGTCTCGTCTGGCGGTCCATTTGAATGCAGGAGTGTTCAGGAAGCGACTGAACCACCGTTCGATTGGCGTTATTCATTCAAGCGAATGGAGAATGTCAGTGCATTTCCGTTTGAATCACTCATTATGCACACCGTCCATTTAGGCGCATACCTAATTCACGGACGGCCACCGTTGCTCGCATATGGGTGACACATGCTGCATCGGAACCCATGACATTTATAGGTCGGATTTGAAAATCGCCCCGCGGAACGGGTGACATCCTGAGCTCGAAAATTCTTGAATTTTTCGGAAATTATATGGATATCAGCGAGAACCCGTGAAAATTACAATAAGGAAGCCGTTATATGATCGTGAAATGAGGGGGAAACAAAGACCACGATGTTGATTAGACTTGCATACTACTTGACGGTGTGACTATGCCAAAATGATTGACGATGTAACACCTTGTCAACGTCGATCAGCTCGCTTCTCGCCCATCTCTTACCAGAACTGTCACCGCGCCGTCGTAGTGTGAAGGGTTGTCCATGTGTGGGAAAACAAGTGTGATACAGCGGTAATTTGGCTTCACACATTCCATCGACACATTAGCGTGTAGTGGCGGAAGGAAAAGGAAGCGGGTCAAAACATGGGTGGTTTCGAGGAGAAAAGGAGAATTTTTGAAAACTGCTTTCTGACTATGAGATTTTCAGTGGGAAATGTTCCACCGAGCGAGCAGTATGTCAATCAAAGTGCTCCGATTGCCTTACAAGGACAGCAACATAAACTGCACTGCTTCTTCTCGGGATAGTGAGTTTTTGTCTTTCCAGAATTTTCCTCTTGATTTTTTTGAATTAGCTTTGTAACTCTATTTGACTTTATTTTTCTCTTACGACGTGTGTATTGCTCCTTTTTGAGTGAAATTTTTCTCTTATGACGTGGGGATTGCTGCTTGTTAAGTGAATTATGGCAAATTGCCGTTGAACTAGGCGGCGACGTTGTTTTTTTCTGAAACCCTGTTCCATATGTTCTGACCAAATTAATTTAATGGGTTCAGTGTTTCGGCCAATTCAGGCTTGCCTGGCTGAGCAATCCTCTTATGAAAATTCCGCAAATTCCATGCTGATGCTTCCTGTTTTTGATTCTTCCTATGTTTCGATTATTATTGCTTGTTTCGCTTATTCGTTATTTTGTTTATGGATTTTGTTTTCAATCGTTCTGTCATTCTCTGCAGACGGGCGGGTGTCCATGGAAAAATAATTTCGACCCACAAAAGGGGTTCTCGCCCCAGTTTGGCGACAGCGAGGGCATTTTGCACTTCCGCTGCTTCTTTAGTTCCGGTTTACAAGTCTCACTCTGGTGAAACCTGTGAACTCTTGTGAAGCTGGAGCAAGCTCGTCAAGCCACAATGTTCAAACTGTCAACTCTTTTAAGCTCACCTCTCTGGATGGGTGAACACGTCTGTGGGAAAAAACAAAAGTGCAAAATGCCCCCCCCCCTCCCCTCATCCCTCAGCTCTCAGGGTTTTCATAAAGACTTTTTGGTTAGGAATGCGTTTCGTACCGTAGTGAACTCATTCATTGAAGGTTTTCAAAATTATTCCCTGTTTGGGGGGAGGGGTCCAAGTTCGCATTGATAGCCCTTAATCATGGGACCATTGTTTTATTTTTGTTCATGAAATATGGGTGTGCCTTGACTAGAGAGCGAATCGGTGCTGGATTCTTCAATGAAACGCACAATTTTTGCGGCTGTTTTGAGCGTCTAGGCTTTTGGTTATTTATAGGTGGTAGAACTGCCTTATTTTTGAGGTCCGTTGTATATCCCGAGCGCTTATTCATAGTTGATATCGTTGCACCGGGGCGCCCATATATTGCTGACGTGACCAATACTATGGAAACTTTGTTGGCGTGAGCTGCAAAGAGGTCCCGAGGGACACTTGGAAAGTCATCAGTGGCAGTCGATGGCTGACACGCAGTGGAGATACAAGGGTCATTGGCGGCTGCAGGACGTCAACTGGGTTCGGGTGCGACACGCGAGCATTTCATTCGTAGCTTCATTTGCATTTCGACGACCGCTACCCCTGGATATATTTGGAAATGGATAGCGTGTGGAAGAGGGTGCCAGGAAGTTGTCGTTTCGGCTTGAGTGAATCGCCACGCGCTCACGGACCGATAATGGAAGAGAGGATGCCAGCTGGCCGGTCTCTTTGGCTCGAGGAGTTTCCGAGCGGATTGGCAGCGGTCAATGCGATTATCCCCACGTTCCTGACGCTGTTTACGGATGCGATATCGATCGTTGTTTATGCGGACTGTGGTGTCCATTCGTATAATGGTCCCAGCGGAGAGTTATTAAAGGGCTGGCACAATATGAGTTATGAAAAGGGTAGTTATTGGGATGGAAGAGCTGGCGTTCCGTGCTGGATCACTCATTAACTCCTTGTTTTCCGGCCTTTCTTGTTCATTGGACGGAATTTAATCCGATCCTGCTGGGCATGACAAGCACGTGAGGATGTAGTAACTTCTTTTGAGAAGGCTCAGTTCACTCTGTCACAAGAATTGTGCTTGGCGCTCGGGTCATGTATGAGTAATGAGATGAATTGACAGCAAGCTATAGTCGCCGTGGGACGTTTTGTTTTTTTGGGCTACTAAATAGGAATTTGGCTGGAATTGTGGATGACCACTGAATAAAACTTCAAAGAGGATTGAAGAGATTGTTAAGTGCACATGAATACTTTCACAATAGTGAGAAATAAAAGCCATAAAAGCCCCTTAAAACTCGTAATAATTAATCAGTTAAGTAAGTAAAAATCCCCATTAATGCATCCATGGAAAAATGGTTTGGACCCCAAAAAGTATTGGTGCATTTGGGCGACGGGGGGGGGTATTTTGCACTCTTGCTGCTTTTGCTTCATTAACTTCGGTTTACAAGTCTCAGTTTCACGAAATCTGTGAACTGTTGTGAAGCTGGAGCAAGCTCTATGAGTCATCATGGTAAATAATAATTGTATGGTATTTACAAGAGTTGACAGGTGCTCCTCAAAAAAACTGACAGGTGGTCTTTACGAACTTAGCTGGTATCATTTCATGGCTTTACAAGATTTCGCAGGTTTCCACCTGGGCTGGACACGTCGATGGGAAGTAGCAAATTGCAATATGCCCCCCCCCCCTCCACCCCGTTGCCAAACTGCGCCAATGCATTTTCCTATATGAGCCCTCTCTAGGTTCAAAAGTGCATTGCTCACCATGGTGAACCCATTCACTGGAAGTTTTTTGATTAGTTACTGCTTAGGAGCTCCGATTGAGCATTGATAGGCCTTACTTATGGGTCCATTATTACATTTATGGCTCACGAAATATAGAAGAATATGCCTCGCCAAGAGAATGAATTGGCGCGGAATTTTCCAGGGAACCGCAAATTTTTTCGATTATTTTGATGTCTGGGCTTTTGGATGACCCTGATCTGGTGCCAGATGGTCAGCAGTAAAACAAATCGAATCCCCCGTAAATTTATGCTAGATGAACCAAAAGCTCGCGACCCACTTTTCCACTTCTCACAATGGTTTTTTAGCCCTGCACCGAAACCTACCTGGTATCACAATGGTCGCGAAATCAGTGAAGATACTGATGAAGGATTTCGGTTCGAGTCGTACGGGAAAACGCTGGTACGTTCCTAAGCTGTTTTAGTTCGATAACGGCTGTTTAGTACCGCAGTGCGTGCTTCGGAGTGCTGGGTTATGGGCGAAGGTCAGACCCCAGACGGGACTCAAACTTGCACCTCCCGCTCCCGCCGGCGAGGGCACTGCTTTTGCCCATAACTCAGCATTCTTGTGGTAACTGGTACGTTCGTTTGCAAACGAACCCTTTATTTGTTCTTTTTCGGATAGTGGAGCTCACTATATCGGATTTCAGGTATTCAACGTAACGCAAGACAAAGCTGGCAAATATGACTGCCGTTTTCCCGTACACAATGACATCGACAGGGCTTTCAACGTGGTAGTGGAAGGTTGGTGCTTGGACTTTTGTGACGTGACCTTAGGCTAAGAAGAGTTTTGGGTTTTTCTACAGCACAGTGATTGATAACTACCTTGCCGCTCGCTCTTCTGTGGTCGCAATTTCAGCTGAAATGAGATTTTAAAAAACGCTGTTGCTAGCGCAGTTCTCATTAGGTGGCTTCAACACAGGCCTAGGTCCAGCATGGAACATCTGCAATCGATTTGCAACACACGCCGAACCAGTCGCGTATTCGGCCAGGTGCTCAAATGAAACGCCGCAGTTGTTTCGCCTCATCCACCCACAGACGGATGATTTTTTTTCACGAGACCGCAACGGCTGCTCGCGGTCACGGAATGCAGCATATCTTATGAGTTTTCTGTCCAAGAAAAGCCCGGGAGCAACTTCCTGTGCAGATTTTTTTTGAATGAATATGTGCGGACTTTTGGCTGGTGGAGCAAGTGCTCTTCTGCTATAATTGTCCAGATACTTCTGCGGGAATAGTAAATTTGAGGGATTTTTTTTACCTCGGAGTTGTGTCCAGAATGGTCGAGGGTATGCTAGACGCAGAGATAGTTGCTGACAACATTGAACTTTTCAGACACGCAAGCCCTACATCTTCAGATAAATTGAACTGTGTGACGAAAAATCTCAGTGTTGCCGTCAGTTCTTGAGTAGTTCCTCTGTGCGCTGCTGTGCCATGACACGAAACCTCTTTTTCTAGGGAAAGATGTCATGCGCCAAGATTAGACCCTTTTTTTGAAGTCATTTTGAAAGTGCTCAGAGGCCGATTACATCATCTTATTAGCGTCACATGATACCAAGGGCTTTCCAATAATGTGGAGGGTTTATGGGAAACTATTTGAGGTTTTACAATGCCGTTTCCTCTCTGCAATTTTGATGAAGTGCAGTGGTAATTTCCTCCTCATACAGTAACGATATGAATGCAAGCGTTAATTAGAAAGTGAAATAGCCTGCAATGGCTGCTGAAAAACTTGCATAAGTAACTCAAATGGCTGGTTGGAAAAGGTCTGCAACATCCGTCCATTCCTGGCATCTGTCGAAAATCTTTTGAACTTTTTGAGCGGAACTTGAATATTTCAGAACCTACGGGCAAACAGTTGATGTCTGCAATAAGCACTATATCTAACCCCATTGTTAAGGAAAAAATAAGGCTGCCCAACGTTTCATGTTTCTTTCTGGGATGCGCCATACATTCTATTTCTGGTCATGATCAGCGCCGTAGTGATCTATAGAATTCTATGTGCATATCCTAATAAACGTACGCTCTGCCGCTAAGAAAAGTTTCTGCAAAATACGGCCTTCTTCCAAAATTTCTTGCTGAAATACTCCCTCCTTCCGCATCCTACTGACCACCCTTCTCATTTCGCTAACACTTTATCACTTTTTCGGTTTTTTCTCTCGCAAACTTCTTCACTTCCCGAGGAAAAAAAAGGAACTCCCTTCAAGCGCAGGGGAGGGAGTGAGCGGGAGGGAGGTGTGGGTGTACACAGCGCATTTGAAACAGCAAAAAAAAGGAAAAAAGTCAGCAGCCGAGAACATCTATATTGGAGGAAAACGACCCCACCTCCAGCGACCAAATACGACTTCACCGCTGGGATTCCCACGTATGATGTGACCTATATGCAATTACCTATATTGTCAGGCAGCCTGTGTACGTATCATGCAGCGTTCAGACTTGTCGCGCTGCAGTTGTCGCGCTTCAATTGTACCAGACCCCAGCTTCCCTTCATGTTCTTTCTTCCGGTATTCAATCCCTTTTTCACTGTTTCTCATTTCTACCTGATTCTTAGCTCCTCTTTTTCACTTTAACATTGAATTAAAACAGAACAATATTTGAACAGAAATGATGCACCACTGCAAGACATCAACATCAATAGCAACCCTGAGACTGAATAATTAAAGTCGAAAACGGTATACAAAATCATTATCACAGTGTCTGTATCAAAAACTACATTAAAATTCAATGTTAAAGTGGAAAAAGAGGTGCTAAGAGTCAGGTAGAATCGAGAAACAAAGAAGAAGAGATCGAATAGCAGAAAAAAGAACATAAAGGGAGCTAGGGTCTGGTACTATTGCAGCGCGGCAAATGTGAACGCTGCCTCAGTGCTTTTTTATCATCGACAAATTTGGTACCGATTCACCAACTTCGATGGTATGAATGGTTTGAGAAACAAGGGACAGAGCGGGGTTTGAATGGACCGCACTTGTGGCACGGGGTTTGTCTTGACATTACACCATCTCCGTCCCTTCCACGTGTTGCTACCAGATACCTAGGTTGTTTTCATTACTGCATCCAGCATGACCCTTTGACCTTTAAACGACATACATTAGAAGCTGTTCGGGTGAGACGTGATACAAACATTTCATGAAGCTAAGAGAGACTCTTACCTAGCCCGGCGATGGTTTCGTAGGAGTCTCTGTGTGACCAGAGGAGTAGTTCTACACTTCCGTATTCACGAACTCTTCACTGGGTTCCTACAGTTTTTTTTAATTACTATAAATATATTTCAGCCGCTCCGTACTGGCCAGATGGACCGCCACCGAACACCAACACCAGCGAAGGTGAAACGGTCACCTTTGACTGTACGACGAGTGGCAAACCCATACCAAAAGTCACTTTCTACAAAAATGGCGTTGGTAAGTGTTAGTCCTCCTTTTTTAGACCTTCTTCTTTATAAAGTTCAGTTGCGGTATGAAAAACAGTGACAGCATGAAGCCTGGCGAATCATTTGGAAGTTTTTCAATTAATTTCGGCCACCATAAGACGTTTATTGTGTGTGACAAGAGCAGCGGAAATCGGGCAATGGGATGCAGCGATGGGTTGCAAATTTTCGTTTCAGCTGTAGCATGAGAAGGGCGCCTGATTCGATAGTTACTCGCTGCATTGTTGCTCTAATGGGAGTTCTGTTATAACGCAATTTACTCCGAAACTATTTCGCACGAAGACAATGGTACATCAGTACCCATATACAACAACTACTTTGGAATAACTTACTTTTTTTTTACTTTTTTTTGGTTAAGCATCCATAAGGGAAGCACTCTCCTTATGGAACGTTGCGAACTTTCAGTAGTCATCAAGATTTCGGACTCAGAGCCAGGGTATGTGATGAATTGGGTGGTGGTGTCGGTACTATCCCCCCTCACCCACGAGAGAGGATGTCAGTACGACCCCCCACCTAGATGAGGGTCTCGGGTACGGACCCCCGCCCCGCCCTTCCCCACCTCAGCACCTACCCACCAATTCCCCATCACTTTTTCACCCAAAAATTCTCCGTCGAGGGGAAGGGAGGGGTATGTAGTACACATGAAACTGGAAAAATCTTGCAAAAAGTCAGTAACCGGGAAATCAACGCGACCAATTTCTCTCAAAGGCTCATATGCCCCTCTCTCTCCCAAAGACCAAATACGACCCCCCGTAGCGGAAAAGTAAGACCCCGTGTGTTTCCACACAACGATGCTGTACCCTGCTGAGAGCGTAAGTGGGTAGCTTAAATAAGTGGCTTCCTCATCGGTAAGTCATAGGAAGTCCGAAGGCCTAAGGAAAGTCCTCGTCAAATTATCATCAAGCGTTGTTCTATCTATGGTCAGTTGCTTTTATTATATATCAGTCGTTTTTGTATATCCACATGAGTTTTATCTCATGTGATAAATAAATAGCAAAAAAAAATTAAATAAATAGTCAAATTACCATCACTTACAATGGCATGACGGAAAAAGTCCCAGGCTTGAGTCGTATCTTAACGCTGAAAGTGGTCACGTGGTCATGTATTAGTTTTTCTAGTTTTAGCTGTAAGATGTAGAGGCAGTGGAACGTTCTCATTAACTCGCAGTCGCCAGAGGACATGTCTCATCGTAAGAACGTCTGGTGTCAATCAAACTACTCTAAAGCGATGGGAAGCTTGATTAGTCTCAATGAAATTTGATCTTGCAGACCGTGCAAGAATGAGGGTGATTACTATATTGCAGCCTCTGCGTTTCATCCTCTAACAAGACCCCTAAACAATATAAGCAATGATTCAAAGCGGCAGCGTAAATGGCAAATAATACGCAAGAATGTGGCGTCTTTGAAGAAAAGCGCTCTGAGTTTACAGGCATGCTCCCTACAAGCGATTGGGCGTGTGAGGGGAGGGGCATGGCCTGGAGCGCTATTCAAGTTCTCATCAGGTGTATCGGGCTCAGGATAGCATTTGGTGGAAAAAAGAGCGCCCTGGCTGCGCTGCAGCCCGCGCCGCATCGTACGCCCTATCGTTTGCAGGGATCATGTCTATAAAGGAGCTGGTATGCAAGAGAGCGTGATTAGTACCTTTTTGTGGCTCTATGGTCTCGTAAAGTCAGTAGGGAGAACAAAGATACCGTACCTTTCTACATTGCCAGAGTAAACACATAGGTTATGTAGCGCGTATTATTACCCACTATTCCAAACTTGTTTCGTGTTAGAAAGGCTACCTTTCTTCGTGTATTCCTTGTCTACAAAAGCAAATTGCAAACCGGCTCTGCAAAGGGAGTATGTAACCCTGCCAAATGGCAGAACACTAAAATTCGGAGGTGTGACATGGGGGGGGGGGTGAGAACTACTCGTTTTCTGTGCTTCGTTCAACATTATGAGAGAAAGTTTTTCAGAAGTCAAGCGTTTTTGTGTAAATTATATTTTCGGCCCTGTTTACCCTTTATTGCCCCATGGTCCGGAATTGAGGCCGTTTGGGGTAGGGGGGGGGACGAGAGGAAGAGGAGGGAGTAATTTTTCCTCGATTTACCCTCGGGATTTTTTTGAACTCCTGAGCGCGGGTATTCCTTCCACCTTTTTTGCGAAAACACTGTCTGGGCACAGACACGGGGGCCGCGGACCAACTTCGGTGCGGGTGCCCGTAGCACACACAGCGGGCGTCGTCATGTTGAACCAATGCGATAGTCGTGTTTAGAGGGTAGAATCACCTCTTTAGGCAAGCTTTTGATAACATTGGTCTACTGATTGTAGGGCCCAGACTCTTACGGCACGGTCGCCAGACATGAGTCAAGCGAACGTCTCATTGGTGTTTAAATGGGTAAACTACAACAAGTACTAACGTCTAGCCATTCTGTTCTCTCAGGAAGTTTCAGTCGAAACCTGGCCAGGAATTCGAAAGAGGGACACAGTGAAAGATAATGCAGTCTTTCCCTGAGTATGAGGCGCATTTCTCAGGGTAGCAGAGTCGCGCGTCATATTGCATACGATAAATTTCTAGACAAGCGCTTTTTTCACGTTTCTCAATCTTCTAAATGGTTCTCATACACTTCGTCTTCAACGTGGAACGTTTACACTAATACAACAGGTGATAGAATACAAGAAAATGAGAAAAAAATATCTTCGGGTACCCTAGATAGAAAGGAAATAAGTTTTTACTTTTTTCCTGATTCGAAACGATACACGAGTTAAGGAGACTTTCGTTCCTTCGAATTGGCTATTGCTTCCTCAGTAGCACGTCCACTGCTCTCCTTTTTATTATACCGTACTTTCTGGGATATGAGGCGCATCCGTGTATGGGAAGCATTTTCGCCTCGAAGCGCACTTTTGTGTGTTCTTATCTATGTGAATGATCTATTTAGACTAATAAGTGCTCCGAGGCGACTAGAAGATTAGAGTATTCAAAAACACAAAGAAAGCTGTTGAGTAGGATGACTGCTGTTTAACGCCGCAAACTGTCACAGGAATATTGAGTTATAGGCTGACCGGTCAGCGGAAGATGCGGGTTCGAATCCGCTTGGGTTCTGACTTTTGCCCACGACTCAGCGTACTTGCGATCACTTAAAACTTGTTGTTAGGATGCAGCATCGTGATGTGTGAAATGGTGGTGTCAGAACGACCCCTTTCCACCTAGGAAGGGATCTCGGTACGAGCTCTCTTAACCTTCCCTTACCCACCAGTCTCCCCCATTTTCCAGTTTTTCATCCAAATATGTCCATCGAGCGGGGCGGGGGTATATATAGTACATAGGAAACAGGAAAAATCACGCGAAAATTCAAGAGCCGGGAAAATTTTTCCCCAACACAAGCCACATACGAACCCCCCCCTCTCCGACTAAATACGCCCCCCCCCCCATGTGTTCCATACTACGATGCTGTACCTTGGTTGTTGTTATACTTAGAAAGTTTTCGCGCGCGTTTTCGCTACCAACTGAATGCTACTTTTATCCCAGAAACAGAAAACTTTCTTTCTTTTTCGTGGAGAACTTTTTCGATACACTCTTCGCGAGGAGCCAATCCCATCGTTTCTCACGATAAACAGGCGTAGTAATGGGAAACGTTTACGAGACGTTCAAGAAGAACATGCTTCTGCTAACGTTTGTCAAACACCTGCAGATGTTTCACTTTTAAGAAAACATCTTTTTTGAAGTACGACTAGCATGGTGAACGTTGGGAGGGGGCTCACGAACACAGCATATGGTATACTCGAAATGTCTGAGATGAGGTAGGCGTGGCTGCGTACTTCAACTAAACGTCGTGGTGCTATGCTTTGGAGAGATATTTTCATTTTGACCCAAATGTGGTCACGTCTCTGTCCAACAAAGAACAAGATGGCGGTTGTCTCAAATTGAAATATCCCACGAGTAACCAGTTCTGTGCCATGTTCGAATGTCCACGCCTACCCCGTCTCAGGAATAAGAAGTATACATATTTTGGGAACTCCGGTGATCTATGAGCATCCAGTGGTCATTCGTCTACATGAGTGGTTATAGATTACCGGGGATTTCGGAAGGCGATTGGGTCGTTAATACTTCATTGTTGTCATGTGCCATGTTGGAGGTAAAAACGCAGCAAGCATTTGCTGAGTGTTGGTTGTAGGCAGTTGCCATCATGTTACAACCACCAATACTTCCATCCACTTTCTGCTCTTCGTCACGTGTAGTTGAAAAGGAGAGTGAAAGGTCGTGAGCCAAGAAACGAGCTCAACGGAGGTCGTGCTGTGGGTCCTGGGTTCTCTCTTCAAGCTTGAACCACTAATGCGCTTTACTTTCTATTACCTTTTTACCAGATCTTTTCTATTCATGACACTTATCCTACGCAGGGCTGGAAAAGATGTCTGAAAGAGCAGTTCTTTAGAACACTAGTTGTTAATCTTTGGGCCCTGATGAATGGCGATGTTGTTTATCCCAATGTTAAGACGTTCACAAGGCAATTGAGTTGCCCTCAGACCACTTTATCCACTTGGAGCGCTAGAAAAGCAATCGAATACACGAATTGTTGTGGTTTTCCCCTTTTCAGCTGCTCGTAAATCAATGGTTGTTACGCCGAGATGGAATGGGTTTATCCATTTTCAAGAGGAAATTTATGGGAATTCGCTCTGAATTCGACGTCTTGATGCCTGCTGAGGGTTCACGACGTTCCAACATGGAATGCTTGCCTTTAGATGTTTGACCAAAGATGGAATTCGGAAGTCGTCCGTATATACCACATATCAGTCAAGCTAGGCCTATAATTTGTTGGACTACGCCGAAGAATTATCGATTCTCTTGAAATTGCTCTCTGGCGTTGGCCATGTTAAGAAGTTTGGGGAATAATGAGGGGGGAAAGAAGGCTGGGGCTGGGCTGAAGAGCCCACTCATTTTCCCTGCTCATGATATCGATAGACAAATTAGAATGCTGGACTTGCGGTGTTGCTTTTGAACGGCCGCCACCACTAATTAACTAATTAATTAGGGGTCAGCATCCTTATTTGTCCCTGCGAGCGATCCTGGTCTCTATAGGGTTCATGAATGCACAGATACTTACGGAAAGGAATAAAGTAGAAAAGCGTCTCATTATTGTTGAGTTTCTCTCAAAATAAAAAAAACATCAATGTTTGGATAATAGTAGCGTCGTTGAGGAGGTTTCAGAGATGTGCAGCTGGCTGGCTACTGGCTTTTCTATGAGCTTTTCAAACCGTTGTAATTAACTGGTTTCAGAAATGAAAAAGCCAAAGGACGGCGAGAAATGGGTAATTGAGACCAATCGGCTTACCATCTACGATGTGAGAAAGGGCATTCATGGCAAGGGTGATAATGCTGTCTACCAATGCAAAGCTGAGAACAAGCACGGCTACGTATGGACCAACTTCTACCTCAATCTCCTGGGTGGGTGGCTTTTGGCATTTAATGGCTTGGATAATGTATGAAAAATAAGTTTTAGCCTTCAAACCTCAATTGTTGACGGATGCTGGAGAGGTGGAAGCTGTGGCCGGTCAGTCAGTATCGCTGGAGTGCAAATTCTTCGCCAGTCCAAATGCAGTCATCACCTGGTCAAGCCCGCTCCTGCAAGGCATTGTTCATAACGTGATTCCAGCCAGTCCGCACGGTGTTGGAAAACTTGTTATTCCCAGTGAGTTGACTCTTTTCATTTTCGCCGTAAATTTTCCGCGCTTTTTTAGCCGCCGTATCATGCCTTTTTTGCAGATGTTACACCAGAAGCGGAAGGAGAATACGAATGTACGGGAACGAATAAGTACGGCCAATCCAAAGGAGCTGCGAAACTTCTTGTGCGAAGTGAGCTCGAATTTTACAGAAGATTCTGGAGACTTTTTTTTATCATGAAGCTTTGTTTGCGGGTTTTTTTCTTTACCATGGAAATGACGTGTTTTATAGAAGCCACTCGATTGGAACCATTCCGACGAGCCGAAGAAGTCAAAATTGCCGGAGAAACTATTCGGTTACCTTGCGAAGCTACTCCTGATGAACGGTAGGTGCTAGCATCTATCTTGTTGTTTTTTCTCCCTGTCTTTGCTCCATATTTTTGAACAAAGGGCCTTGATATCTCCTAACGGTTAGATGCGCTGTTTCCGATTTAATAACCTCAAAAACGCATCGCAATCGGTCTTGTTCTTATAGACAGGGCTATTCCGTACTTCCCCTAGGCGGCGATGCTGGACCAGCAGAAGACGTGCAGGAGCCTTCTTGACAGGGTAGTGCTGTCTCGGAACAGAGGGGCTTTTCTCGGTTCCCCTGCAGAAATCGATATCCAGGTGATTTCAGTAATTCAGTTCATTTCAGCCTCGAGGTCAAATATGAATGGCATGTCAACGGTCAGCCTCTGTCCGAAGTACATTTGCAGTCGGGACATTACCAGGTTTGATTTTCTGAAGTAATGAAGGCTGTCACCGTTGTGGTTCCCATGTTTTGACACCCTTCCCCGAAGTAATCAAGTGTTGTTAGAAACTCTGTGCTTTGGCCCACTGAGCTGTTGATTTCTTCGCCTTGGGAGGGGGAGAGAGACCATTTTACTAGTTCCCCTTGAGATATGTGAACGCTCATGAAACTACGAAATGGTTTTCAGCGAATTTTCAGCCATGAGGCTCATATCTTTTCGCAGCTACTTGAGAATTTCCACGTCTCATAAGATTGTTGTTAGACAGTCCATTTCGCAGCTCCACAAGTGTTTTCAGCTCTCACAAAGGTACCAATATTGAAGAAATTAGGGAACCAGCAGAATACCCTCTTTCCCGGGGAATTGGAAATGCTTCTTACCCCCCCCCCCCTTTACAAAAAAACAGCGTCGACTTGTTCATTCTACCCTGTCTACTAATGTATAGTTGTTTCCGCTGCAAACGTTAGGGCGTGTTTGAAGGCTGTGTTTGGCGCAACGCCAGTGTTTTTCACTAATTGTCGCTTGCCCCTTAACAACAAGTAGGACCGGCTGGCATCGCGCCATACCCAGCCTACTGACACGCACCAGCGTTTGCAGTGAAAACGATTATGGTGCCATTTGCAAGTCTCCATAGATTCGATTAAGGTGGACGACGACAATTCACTGCTAGTCAACAATCCCACACAGTATGACTCGGCAAAGTACAAGTGTATTGCAAGCACGAAGCTCGACAAAGTTGAGAAGGAGGTCCAGATTCAAATCAAGGGTAAGTCGCTCATGACTAAGCCTCTAATTTTTCATGAACTGCTGTTTCTGTAGAAGAGCTTCATTAGACACTATTCACGACGAGAGCATTCAGGAAATATTGCTAGAGCCATATCAAGTGATAACGGCTAGTCGGGCTGCGGTGAAGAGTGATAGGGTGGTGCGAAACGGTACCAACGCAAGGATTAGCGGTAATAAGAAGTCTGATATGTGCTGAATAGGAGGGGAGGGGGAGGGATTCATCAAAGTTTTGAGGAGAAAAACTGATCGCATCAACTCTGAATTTCGTGGAGATTTGATGGGGCGTAATGGTGTGGAGAATTAAAGGGAGGAAGACCTGTGATAAGAGCGGCAAAAAGCTACTGTAGTCCCGTCTTCGTATTTACTGCAGTGCTATGGTACTCCTGCCTCAAATTTATAAATGAATAGCGGTCATTTATATGCTACTAGAAGGATTATAATAGACGTTCAAGAGCTGTGGAGTAGTCTAATGCGAGGCAGCCATTAGTGGCCGGTCAAGAAGGTAGCATAACGGTGAAAAGGGTGGTGCTAAAGTTAGAGAGACGTTAAAGATGAAACTAATATGAGTCTAGGCATTGATTTAAATTGCTAGTAGATCGTAATCTGGAACAAGGGGGGGGGGGGGGAAGAACAGCGAAATGTCGTAGAAACGAACGAAGAAACGAAATGCGTGGATGAAATCATCCCCTTAATTTGTAGGTCTCCATAGATTTCTGGTGCTCGGGCATATACGTTGCTGTAGGGAAGTCTGACGAACCATTACCCTCGAGAAATGGTTTCGTAAAATGTGTAACTCCAAAGGTTATCCTATAAATGCAGATTTATTTGCAAAGACTTTGACCGCAGGTGGTTCGAAGATCTCTTTTCCCGAATTTGGTTGAGCTGTTAATTGCGCATAAGTAACAGCGTTTTTTAAATTAGGGTTTTCTGATGAAGGATAAAATGTTTCCTCAATGCGTTCCACAATGTTCGACAAAGAAATACGTGCTCTTCGAGGCAGCATGAATAGTTTTTGAGCTGGCTGATTTTTGTTAATTTCTAGGTCCTTAATGCAGGTCTCTCGGAAGGAAAAAAAAATCGGGTTTTCCTCACAACCTCTTCCTTTTTGCATTGCAATGAGCTGCAAAAGGCTAGAAGTTCATTTTTGTTTTGCGTGGCTAAGGAGCAGTGCCATTTGTAACAGCGTGAATTCAGCATGAACGATCCCAACGTTTTGATTTCAGCCTGACCGGACATGCTTCGTACAGACAGCTCTTTGGAGCTCGATGACGGGTGGATGAGTCGTGTTATTCACAAAGGTCCGCGTTAAACGACATGGGAGTTAACACTGGTCTGGGACCCCCCCCCCCACTATACTGTTGAGTTACGCCTCCACGTGATGTTCAGGTTCGAGGATGTGGTGCATAAATCTCACATGGTGTCGGTATTCATTGAGCTCAGCAGGTCGTCCGGTGCTACATATTAGAGGGTTGGAATGTGAATCGTTTGAACCGAGCTTCCGAGTTTGAGCCATACTAAGAGGATCCCCTCGACCACGCTTCACCTCTTTCCAGCCACCTCTAGAAACACATTTGAGCCCAGAGTATATAGGTCGAAATGCTCGTTTTTGTCATCTTGGCACCTCTTTGCAAACAGAAATTGGTACGAATCTGGACCATGAAGTTCTATTTGATAATAACTCAAACTATTAGCGAACTTTTCTAGACTTGACATCCATAGCTTAAGAGCTTTCCAGACTTAGGCGGTGAAAAAATTTTAAATGTGTTTCTGCTTTTCTACTTTGGTATAGGTAGCAGAGCTTCCTGCTCTAATTGTCATTGACATAATCAGTAATACTCAGTAGGTACACCTGATCGCAATGTATTCGGAGATGAAATCGTCTATGGTTAACCGTTATCAGTAGCTCTAACCTGAGCTGAATTGAAACTAAAATTATGCGGACACTCCGAAGATGAATGTGGGAAATCCCGACGCGAGCTTCGAATTTTGACGGGATGCACTCGCACGCTAGTCCCGATCGGGGCATCTGGTTTCTGTGTTTTTAGTAGCTTAGCAGCTGAGCGCACGTAAAGGCAGCGATTACGATGAAAATCTGCACTAACCTTTTCTTTGTGAGGAAGTTATATTCCGTTCTATACGTGGAAGCCACTCTAGTGTTGTGAGAAGCGAGTCCTTCGGGTCAGGTTTTTTTTTCGGGACAGTTCATTGCATGGTTTAGGGATACACACGCTCCATATCCCTCAGTCACGGCGGGCGTGGCTGGTCCTTCATTTTAACATGGCCTAGGATGGATTATTCGTGGGATATCCAACATGGTAACTGCATTTTTTTTCCTGTGCCGAAGAAATACACGATTATAGTGTCCCAAAGTGAAGATATTTCATCAAAAGCGCAGTACGTGCCGTTTCGGCGACACGTAACAACGCCCACCGCATCTCTGGGTTTTAAGTTCCCAGGGACTCTAGAGGTGAGACCTCATCTTCTTCCGCACTCTGGGAACGCTAAAAGGGCGACCAGTAAATTGGTGGTTCAAATTTCAATGATGACAAATTGCGCGATCCCGCATTTTTTATTTTCTTTCATATGTCTACTTTTTGTCCTCAGAAAAAAATCAAAAGGTAAAAGGAGTTCTGTCTGAAGAGTAAAAACTATTTCCATGAGCGTGTTCGTCCATGAATTCGCAAAACTTGACTCTTCTCCCTGACGCTCACAGAACCACGCAGGAAAAACAAAATACACCTTGGTGGACCACTTATGCATTCCTACAACACGCAGCGCTAAGACCAGAGGATTCCCCTCCCAACCTCTTCCAGTGTCTGGAACTGAAGTGTTTTTTATAAAGGCTCACGCTGCAGATAACCAAATAGAAATGCCTGCAAAATACCTGCAAAATGTCTGCAAAATGCCCATTCATGTCAGTAGGTGTGATATGCGAGGCATGAGGAAAAGCCACCGCTAACATGGTATGGTATCGGACGATTTTGCATTTCGGCATTTTTTTTCGTGATGGTATGGTTGTGATAACATCCTCGCATATAAGCCGCTCCTAGATGTGGCAGCGTTCAGACTTCGCAAGGGTGGGGCTTCGGTCGCGCTTTCGACGCAATCGATGCAGTCAGAAAAATGCGCGTGGATCACTCTGGACGCACGACAAGAGCTTATTATTGGTTGGGGATTTTGGTAGAGTCCTTACGACTCTTAGGGGTTGCGACCCACCTTTGTCCCTCCTCATCGAGCTGTCAAGAGGGAGAGGGAAAGGGTAAATAAAAGGATAAAGTCTTCGCCGTTGATCAATCCCTTTGTGGGATGCGGCACGCATTCTACTTCCATTCAGAATCGTAGTGGCTTATTGAATGCGATGTGGCCTATACAATGACTTGCGGTGGCCAGCCGATGTACAAGTCAGTGTTTTATCCTCCCAGACGAATCTGGTACCAATTTACCGTCCCCGGAGGGTAGAAGGCTTGGTTGGCCTGGGCGGGAGTCGACCCGGGATTTGAACCCGGCGCCCCCCCCCTCCCGCTTCTACTCGATCTCAGATTGTCCGAGCTTCTTGCCACTTCTGAAATTTACTGAAAATTGCCCTACTTTTTCCCAAAAACGTTGTTGTCGGGCGGCGGGGTGGAGGTATATAGTACACATGAAATAGGGAAAATCATGAAAAGTCAACTATCTCTCCCAGAAGGTGAGACATAAAAATACGACCTCCCTTCCTCCGAACAACGAGCAAGACGATCCTCCTCTTTACAACGTCCGTGAAGCGAGAAAAATCAACTATCAAAATAAATTTTTCTCAGCCCAAATACGACCCCCTCTCCTGGCGACCAAATACGACCCCCTGTTGGGGATTTCCCAACAGCGATGTGCCCTGCGCGCGACCGAGGCGTTGCCGTCGCGAAGTCTGAGCGCTGCCCATGACACGAAATTAATACGGCTAGTCCACTAGTCTTTTACGTATGCACCTCGAGGTGGTCAAATGCTTACATAAAAGGGGTGACGTGTCTTTCACGGAGACATGAACGCTATCAAAGAAATGAGCGGAAAAATTCCCTCTGAACACCAGCACTGTCTAGATAAAGTACAATTTTGAGAGCATTAGAAAAGTCTTGATTAATGCTAGTATGGAAAGGTTACCCAAGGGTTCAACTCGTCTTTTACTTTTTTTTCACCGCGAAAACATCGTTGCAATGTGCGATGTTTCATCGTTGGACGTGTTGTTTTGATGTTCCCCGCATGACAGTTGTCTTGATTTTCGTGAGCAACTTGAGATGCCTGTCATGCGTTTCTCCCCCGCAAAACTTCATAGGGAAAGAGAAACCTGATTGTTGAAAGTGATGAGACAGTCAGTTGCAAAAGTGTCAGATTTGATGACCTAATGGACTCTTTCCAGACGTACCAATGCCTGTACATGCTGCTTACGTGAGCAAATGTGATGCGGACTCACAGTCAGCTGAAATCAGCTTTGAACACATGGAACCTGCCGACACCGTCTCACCTGTGAAGGAGTTTTGGTTAGTCTCTCATAACTCACTGTTCTCTTCTTCGTTACGTGTCTCAAAAAAGATCCATTTGTCAGTGAAATCTAAAAATTGATGTTTCACAAGCTGAGTTACCTCCTTTTGCTATGGTCAGCTTGAAATTCTTGTCATATTTTTTAGACTCGAAATACTTGCCCATAATGAAGAGGTGGGATAGATAATGTGAGCACTAATAGTCTGGATAAAATCTGCCCATTAGTACCTCAACTGTCTCCTACTCCATCTTCTGCAATGTGGACACGAACTGTGTCCCTTACTGTCAGCAGTGACCCTTGAACCCCTCCCTCAAGCTCATTTCTTCTATCACCCTGGCTCATGCTTGGGAGCTGCCGAGGCCAACATAAACGGGCTGCATAAGGGTGATGCCCCAGTCTACGGCGCGAATGCTTCAGAGCGAGATCCTACAGTGCTGAAGACGAGGGTGGTCCACATGTCTGTGTGAACTGAGTTTGAGGTTTTGGGGCAGCTTGTGAAACTACTGGGATGTGCCCACACCATCCAAATAAAGGCTGGCCCAAACCTCGTGCTGTTGAGCTGGATGGCTCTCCCTTTGCACCGGTGAGGCCCAGACATGGCTCCGTCCAGCTGCTTATTACTTCCTGAACTGGCCCGTCATATGAACGAGGAAAGCTTCACGATCCGAGCCCAAATCAAAATCGGAATGATGTCTAGCTTGGCCTTGGGCTGTCCTCCATTGTGAAGCGATGTCATCCGTGAGGTGAGCAAAAATTGAAAAGAACCCCGCGTTAGCCATTCTGTATATTTTTGGTTTAATACTCCAGAAAGTGGAAGCCTAATTTCAGAAATATATGAAGAAGTATATCAGAGCTTTCTCGACAGTCTAACCATTCACCTAACATCTCTGAGAAATCCACTCTCAAAATCAGTTCTAATAAGACCAAGTTCCAGTGTCCAGTACCCGCTTCTGTGACCCGACCACTATTGCACAACAGACGAACTTTTTCTTCTGTTCAGTTCAACTAGCAGAGCAATCGCTTGTAAAGTCGTATAGCTCTTGTACCCTCACAGCTCCATACAATCCAATTTAGCCCATGCCAATCAAGTGCCGTCACGCTGAGGATGGCTAGTCCGTGCAGACGGAATTAGAGGCAATAAAACTCAAAAAATACCTCGAGGCCACCAAGCTCGTTTCGATTCTAATGGAGGCCCAATAATTCTGTTCGGAAGCATTCTAGGCTATGCATGTTTGAATAAAAAGCAGCTCGATTAATGGTCTTCTTTCAAAAATTATTTTTAGGGTTCAGTATCAGATGGACAGTGAGACTGAGGGCACGCAGTGGCGAACTCATCCAGTTCCCGTCCAGGCACATCCGAACGACCGTATTGAAGGTGATCAACGAATGGTCAGCGGGAAAGCAACCGTTGCTCTGCAGCCTTTCGGACACGTACGTTTTCGCTCTTGCTTGGAACAAAGAGTTGGTACTTCTCTTCGGTAATGTTGTTTCATTTTCAGTATGTGTTCCGAGTATTGGCCCGGAACGGAGTTGGTGACAGTTCACCGACGAGAGTGAAAGACGTGTGCATTACCCCACCGAAGCAACCAGATAGGAATCCGTCTGGAGTTTGGGCAAAAGGTGCCAGTCCGGAGAATATTGTTGTCCATTGGCGCCCGATGTCTCGTGAGGAGTGGAATGGGAAGAACTTCCACTACAAGAATAAAGTAAGCTGTTTTCTTTTTTATCTATGCCTTTTCTTTGAGTTTTTTCTTGTTGAATTACCTCTATTGCTAATTACATACTCTTTTTCGATATTGTGCATGATTCTCCCTCCTCCCCGTTTCCTTATCTTGTATGACTCCCTTCTCTGTCCTACCTACTATCTTTCTAAGTTTTCCTAGCTCCTTACCACTTCTCCCAATTTCCCTGAATTTTCCGGTTTCTCCCCCAAAAACTGACAAAGAAAGGGAGGGCGGGGCGACAGCCGACATGGAACAAGAAAACCGGGAGAAGTCGTCATCTAAAAAATTTTCTAATGGCCCCGAAAATTTGTTATCAGAAGCAATACAGCTCTTCCCCTTCCCAGTTCCAAGCACGGCCTTCTGCTGGGGTTACAACGATGCCCCATGCCTTGTTACAGAACGGTTCAACAGGTAGATACTAACTGGGGAAGGTTCTGTGGCGGTCAGCCTCTGCTTGTTAAGACGTCATAAGAAATGACGTTGGCATTTTAAGTGTACCAAAGTGGCACACCATATCGTCCGCTCGATCTTCTCCCTCCTCCCCAAGCCTATTCCCCCCTTAGAGTCGGGGGTGCCACAATTCTGTTGTTTTCTTTAGTTGGTTGAAACATAGTAGGGCTGCAGTCCTGGGAAAAGGAGGGAAAAGAACACATTAACGAAGAGTGTTTTCTCAACGCTCTATTAGACTTTGTTTTCACCTGGAGCAGTACAATAAGAACATTCATTTTCGTTCTTTCCAAGAAGTGGGGCCATACTCAATACATCACCATTTTAGGTATCGCCCAGCCGAAGGTGGAGATGGCTCGTGGAAGGAAGTCCAAGTGAACGATCCTTTTGCCGATCGCTACACCATCACTCTCGAAGATGATAAGGATGCGAAGCCTTTCCAACCGTATGAAGTCCAGGTACAGCGTTGAATTTCGTGCTCCTGCTGTTACTCATCTATCACCTATAAGTTGTTTTCTACAGGTTCAAGCAGTGAATGATGAGGGTCAAGCGAACGTGGCTCCTGAGACGGTGCAGGGACGCACGGGTGAAGGAGTGCCAAGTAGCGTTCCGACGGGATTCCGCGTCGTTAGCAAGGTACTATTTTTGATCCGTACTGCTCGTTGACACCAGTACTATTTCTTTATGAAGACTAATTGCAACGCCTCTCTTCGAGGAACTGGTCTCGTTAAAGGAGCGCCATTTCAGGACGGTACCACAGCTACATTCGCTTGGGATCCGGTCGATCCTCGAACGGCCAATGGAAACTTCACTGGATATAAGGTGGGAAAGAATGCTTCAGATGGATTCAGAGTTTATATTGAGGTTTGGATGTTTAGATCACTTACTGGCATGACGAAGTGGAAGGCGAGGACGAGAATGACATCGACACACGCTTCCGTTTCAAACGATCAGCAAAGGTTTGTCTTGGTGTACTTTGCTCAATGTGGGAGAGATATGCCTTCAGACAGCTTACTATTTAGAAAACTGCTCGGCAGAATAGACCTTATTTTCTTAATTATGAGCCGCATCTGGTTACGAGGTCGGTGCAGTCGAACAGCGCGAAAATCCTCGTCGAGGATGTTCGTCGCATCCAGGGCACAGCATCGTTGTAATACAATAGGGGGTCGTATTCGGCCGTTGGGAGAGGAGAGCGTATAGCGTTTGAAAGGAATTTGCTGCACTTGTTTCTAGTTGTTGACTTTCCGCGCGATTCTACCTGTTTCATGTGAGCCATATCCCCCAACCCCGCTCGACAGCAAAATTTTTGGAGAAAATTAGGAAAATTCTCGGTAAATTCCGAAAAAGTGGTAGGAATTTGTAGGTTATTTAAGAAATTTTCCCGTTTCATATTGACTCGACGGGAAATTTCTGGGTGAAAAAGTGGAACGGAAAATGTGGGAAATTGGTAGGCAGGTGTTGGGGAAGGGTGGGGGTCGTACCGAGACCCTCATTTAGGTGGATGGGGGGGAGTCGTACTGACACCCTCTCTCGGAGGAGGGGGGGGGGGTCGTACCTACGCTACCATTTCACACATCATAATGCTGTGACTTGGTCGCACCGATTTTTCCATGCATATCCTTTCGAGGAGGCGGAAGTGATGTAGTGGCAAGCGACACGCTTATCACGCTCTCGAAGGGGGGGGGGTCAAATCCCGGGTGGGCTCCCGCTCAGACCAACCTGGCCCTTACCCTCCGGGAACGGTATGGGTGCCAGATCGTCTGGGAGTGTAAGCGCACTAACCCTCGCTACGGCTGGACTCCTCAAGTCATCGTAAATGACACGTCGCATGCAATAAGCCACTATTATTCTGAATTGAATGGGAATGCGTAGCGCAGAGCTACACTCCTTATCCCTGAGCCAGAGTAGGCGTGGCATTTGAACATGGCACGGAACTGGTTACTCGTGGAATATTCCAGTCTGGGACAACTGTCATCTTGTTCTGTGTTGGACAGAGACACGACAATTGTGTCAAGATGAAAATATCTCACCAGAAGCATAGACACCTTCAGGTTAAGTTGAAGCATGCAGCCACGCCTACCCGATCTCAGGGATTTCAAGTATATAAAAAGTTGATCACCGCCAAACCTTTACGTTTATCCGATTATTTTATCAGTTCATTTTACGGCGCGGAGCAATGTATTGACAGAAATGTTAATAAAATTGATGTTATGAAAATAAAGACGCATTTTCCGTGTGGGAAAGATTTGCGGCGTTCGTGGCGACAGAATAGTTTTCTCACGGATGTCGCTTATACCCCAGAAAATAGGGTAATAACGTCCTCTCCCGCGCCATAATAAACTTTTTGTTGGTACGGGCTACTTCATAAACAACAGCTAGATCTGTATCGGTACATATGAAAAAGAACGGTTAGAAAAAGTTCATAATTCCGTTCTCAAGGCCGTTCAGTTAATTCTCGCTCTTTACAGTTATTCTATTCGAACGATACTCGAAGTGTTTCATCGGCCATAGAGTATGTTATCCTTAACACATTGCGGGCCGTCGTAATGCGCGCATCTCCGGAAAATTTTGTCATTTTTCATAAATTATTCATCAGTAATTTCCTCCCTTCTTTAAATCGATAATGGGGTAAGTATCTACTGTAACCTAGAATGTGTTTCCACAACACTGGAACATGAAAGAAGAGCCAAACTCGTCAAATAAAACACCGCTTACGCAGCGTTCAGAATTTGCTGCGAAAGCGCTTCAGTCGAGCGTCGACGCGATCGATGCAGCGAAAGCATGTGCATCGATCGTCGAATCGCGCGACCAAAGCACTGCCGTCGCGAAGTCTGAACGCTGCCTTAGAAACAAATTTATGACACAGCATGTGTGTCACGCGGTCCGGAACGTGTTAAAATCAAGTGTGTTCTAGTCGGTGAAGAAGCGAAACGTTGAAAGCAAAAGGCGAACTGGTTGTGTTTGGACCAAAAGCAACGACAGGGACGGTGACAGATCTACAACCGGACACCATGAACTATGCAACCATTCAGGTGACAATTTGCATCGAATTGCACCTTTTTACTGTTTAATGAGTTCAAATAATGTGATTCAGGTGACAAATGGCGCTCATGAAGGAGAACCAAGTGAAGTGATCCAGTTCCGCACTGCTGAGGGAGGTTGGTGTGATTTATCTTTGTTTCAGCTTCATTGGTGGAAAACAGCAGGACAGGTATAGCAGCCAAGCTTCCTCATTGTTTATGGAAGGTTTTTTTTCTGCCTTTTTTTCAACATATGCCCAGCGACCACCGCTTCTCTTGCGTGGTTTTTAGTGGTAGTTCAGTTTCTTTTGAATTGTTCTTGGGGTGTGTTTGGGATACCATCAAGTTTGGTCAAGCGCCCACACAAGGGGGCTTCATTCACATTTTCTGTCATTGATAGCATAAATGGAAGTTTCAACTAGTCATAGATTTGGGTCTGAGTGGATCTAATAGACATGGAAAGATAAAATACTTCTTGTTGGAGTGGCGCTATCCAACTGCTTGGTTCTAGATCCCAAAACCTTTTGATAGTTTTGTCTGTGGGGTTAGTCGGCCCACCTCCCCCAACGTAAATCTTCCTGGTGCAAATTACATGTTCGTGTTAGCAGTGATGTCGCAAACGGATGTCATATTCGCTCCTAGCATCACTGCTAACACTGTACTTCAAGTTCTGATCACGGTCCTGAATTACCCAGAAATGGTGGTTCAGATGGAATATGGTAGGATTAAATTGACACTAGCAAGTCTGGCGCTGGCGCAATCATGACATCTCATGTAAGCTGAGCAGCCACAGACAAAAAAAACATGACCGAGCATGAGTGTCACTCAGTAGATCTGCGTCTATAAAGGCTTTGAGACAGAAAGGCCACGATTAGTAGTTCGGTCATGTTGGTGAAGACCTAGTGTAATAATAGAAAAACATTGTCGGGAAAGCTCTGAGCAAAAGAAATGCTTTTTTTTCTCGAAATACCCTCCCTCCCTCCCCCCCATCGGCGAAAATTTTTTGAGCGTTTTGAGCGGAAATGGGAAGGGTGGGATCACTCGACTAACTACGGTAAAATCCCGACGCCGCCGAAATGGTGGAATATGGGAATCAACATGGAACAGTTGTTACGAACTAAATACAACTTCCCCCCTCCTTCCTCCTCGGGCTCGACTACATTATTTCGAACATCAATGCTGAAGTCTTGTGATGGGACTGGCGCGCAATAGAAAGACGATTTCAGCTTTTTGCGGCTATATGGCTTGGTTTGCGAATTGACTTGTATCCCATAATTATGCAAACTATGATTGTTCAAAGGTGGTTGGCACGATAAATCCCTAAAGACGAGTGGGATTGATACGCCTGGCAGGCTGAACTTCCGCGCCCCTAAGCACGCGGTGCGTAGCGGTTTTTCCTAGGGAGGTACCCTAAGGGTCCTATCAAGCTACAACATACCGACCCAAACGCCCACCACGCCCGCCCGCCCACAAATGGACGACCTTACCAGATGCTCGTTTTGCTTCATTTGCTATTTAAAATATGAAGCGAAGGGATGGTATGAAGCGGCTGCAGTGCTGAATGGATATATGAGTACATACATGCAGCCGTACCTACCGGAGCGGTTATTGGCAAGATGCCTACGGGAAACTCGTCCGAATTCGCCTTTTAAAGGCACATTCCGCGATAAAATAAGGCTATGACCTCTCAAATGTGTCGGACGATCCGGAAGGCGATTTTTGAGGCTGCGCTACTTTCAAAATGTGAAAAACGGCAAGAACTCCGCTAGAAGCTGACTAATTAGGCCCATGGACACCCCTTAGGCCCATGCCGACCCTCACCGGCTGCTAGCTACTAGCTAGTAGCCACTATGTTATCTTTCTCTATAACATTTCGGACTGCTTTTTCTGCTGCTTTTCTCCGCTAATCAGATACTTAGCACTTTTTTGTGCCTATTTGAGTTCCGTTTCCCGCAATTTGCGGTCGCGAACTGTGCCTTTAAGAACGAAGGCTTTTCTTCGCAGTTTTCGACCATTTCACTTCGTTTTTCGCCATTTTCCCCACTAGATAGCGCCCTGCTAGCATTTTAGGCTGAGTACCAAATTATCGTACCAACTGCCTTCAAAGGCACTGCAGTAGTGATTGCCACCCAACAGTCATTCATAGTTCTGATATTAACTAGGAAACTGACCTTCATCCTCTCCGACCACTCGTCTTGGTTTCAATGAAATCATCGCACGCACAATATCCTGTGTTGTCTTTGCAGTGCCAAGTCCTGTCCGTGGTCTTCGCGCTCATCCGATGAATCCGAAGGACGCTGAAGAGAAAGCAGTTGTACATCTGATTTGGCGGAGGCCGCGGCGACCGAATGGTAAACTTCTCAAATATGTGGTACGTTCCGAAAGCATATTATTCACTTGCTTTACTCACTTTTAAAATCACTTACGTTAACTATCTTTTTCCACTGTTCCCTTCA